TTTTTTTTTTTTTTTTTTTATCGTTTTATTCATCTCACCTTATACTTACTATTCAAATTAAAATTCATTGCTTTACTTAAAAAAAAATTACCTCTAGATGGTGTAGGTGGTTGGCACCTAGAGGATCTTTTTGGATGTGTAATAAGTATACAAAAAAATCAATTTTACCCGACTTTTTGAATGTGAATTGGAAGGTGAAAAAAAGGGTAAAATTAACAAATAAAGCAGGCTTGTAATATTGACAGGTTAGGCATATGCTTTCCGAGACTAAAAATGGTCCCTGGAACACAATTACGTAACTGAGTCTGAGAGTGGGTAGAGTGGGTAGAGTAGTCCCAATCCAATAATTACTTCCTTTTGTATGCAGCACGGCAGCAGTGAAAAGCTATAGGTTTAAGCTTAGGGAAGCTTAGGGTGGGCACGGTTTAATTTTGTTGCAATCAAAATTGAACCATAGGTTTACCGAATTTTTGGTTACAAATTTTTAGTAACTATTAACTAAATCAAAATTAATTGATTTTTCTCTATTAAGGGCAAAATTTATTGGGTTTTTTTGGTTTTGGTTAATTTTTAAAAATTAATTATTTGGTTTAGTTTTAATTTAAACCCAAAAATAAAAATTAAATTTAGACATTATTTAGAGAAGGAATGCATGGGAACGGAAGAGAAGAGCCTAAAAAAAATTTTCATAAGACATTAAATTTTAAAAAAAAAGCCCAAATTTTTTTTAAATGGGCGAGAATACCAAAAAATCATTCAATTTCAAATAAAAAAGTTCAAAAAATTTGGTTAAACTCAGCTTATTATTGATTTTTTGGTTTTTGAACCTCATTAACCCACAAAAACCCACTTGCCCGGTTGAGATTCTATCATAACCAAAATATGGTAAAAAATATATATATATACAAAACCTGAAAAAACAATCTTAGTAAAAAAACTCAAAACCAAGTTAAACTTAACATGTCAGTTATAATTTTCGTCAAATTCAAATATTTTTCTGGATGTGGATTTTTCTGCTCATCTCTATTTAAACTTGGTCCTTGGAGAAAATGGTCGACCAATTTTTCACTGTGTGTGAAATTAAGGTCTTCGTTGGGAGAATTTATTGGGTCGAAATTATTGCTTTCAATTTTCTTGTGATGGCTACGTGACTTTGGCGTTTTCCTTTCATGTTTCAAGATAAACACTCAAGAGACGTCCATTTTAGAGTCAATGCCAGGAATATATTCATTCTTTTTATGAAAGGTGTTATTAGTTTCATTCATGTGATCCCAATGCTACCCTATCTCTATCTCAATCGTAGAAAAGACAGAGTAAATAATTTTCCATAGTAAATTGATTCGATTGATAAGAAAATTTGTTTTCAACTTTATTAAGCCTCAATGTTTAGCTAGAAATGTGTTGTCTTGACTTTATTTAGATTCCTTAAATGTGACGTAATTTCTTTCACTCATTTAACGGTTTTTTTATTTATAATTTATTTAATGTGAATTATAAAATTGAAAATTCATACTTGATTGATGATGATTTTTTTTTTTTTATCTTAAATGACATAATAAGAGATAAGTCTTTCATGTTTCTTAATTTTATCCTATTCATATATTATGATCCTCAAACTTAAAATATTTAATTTTTAAAGAAAAAGATATTATCACTAAATTAGTTAGATAGTTGATTTATTAATGATTATATTTATTACAATCACATTAGAGGGGTGATAATGTATTTTCAATACTAAGGGCGTATTCCAAAAAAAAAAGGGGTATTGTGAATGATTCCCATCTCTTACTTAGCATCTTTTCATTCTACAATGTATTAGGGGATAATAAATGGATTATATAATTTTCTTTTAGAAAGGTATATGGTGGGTGAAGATAAGAATCCCACGAACCTCTAAAAGGAAGACTGCATAGGGGGCATATATATAAACCATTCGCCAAGAAAATCATGTCTTACACAACGAGTATTCTCCTTTTTGTGGGGGAATTTCAGTGACCTGCGGCTGCCATTAGTGATGAGTCTAGTATACAAGGATATATAGCTAGATAGCTCTTGGGCGTGATGGGTGGTGGAGTGAGGCTAAAGATAGAGACATTATTCATTGCATTCTTGAATCCATAATACCCTTCCCACTACGAATGAAAAGAGAATACTAAACAAGTGCAAAAGATCAGCAAAGGCACAACAAAGTACTGCTGCATCTAGATTTGCTCCACAAGTGTAAACATCAGCTTTCTCCCACTAACACACGATATTTCATTTATGAGTTTTTTTGAAGATTGTGGATGCAAACCCAACTTCCCCATCTTGGGGTAAAGATGGTTATGATTCCTTTTCTTTCTCTTTTCATGAGTGGGGGTACTTTGTCTGAAAGTGTTCATACCGGTTCCTTCTTGTCTACATTAGGCGCCTATGTTACAAAAGCCAACACCCAAATCACTCATGTAGTTTGGTTTGATTGAGCAAAGTGACATGATTTATGGATTTTCCATGTGGATGGATAAGATATAGAGAAATTGGATTGGACAAACTAAAGTACCTTATCATAAATCTTTATAGTAGGTTAACTAACACTCTCCTGTCCATTTTTCCACCTCATATTCGGGTCCATATACTTCTAGTTGAATTTAAAACTTCTAATTTCAATGAAAGAAAAGAGATTACCAGGAGACTCTAATGTTTTTTATGCTTGTCATGTTAAGATTTTTCTTGTCGTACTTGAAAAAGATGACATTTGAATTGGACAAAGGGATGGCCTGAAAAATCAAAATTGATTCTGATTTCTGAATGCAATGATGTGAACAAAGAAACACAGAGAGGGGGATGGATTTGTACTATGTTTTCAAATCTCTTGCACTTCCCATTAGTTTCTCTGTCCCCTCTCCTTTTTCAAAGTTATACATTCCAAGAGTGAAAAATAGACATGAGCATGGGAGTTGAAGTTGACAATACAGGAGAATCAGCCATATCACTTTGGACCAAAATAAATGGAGGCAGGGATATGTATTGTACCCATTTCACCATTATTATGAAAAAGTACTACTGAATGTCAATAATATTGTGCTGTCCCAAAGACAATTCATTTGGCAAAATGCAGAAGCATTTGGCCCACCAATAATGGACCATAAAAACATGTCCTTACAAAAAACAGAATCCAGAGATGGCTGATTATGACACTCAACATGCTCATCTCTGAATATAAATTTACACAAGATTTGGGACAAGGGTATTTTATATGGCATTCATGTCTCAGAAATGCACCAAACTAAGCTGTATATGGACAGACCGGTACAAAATGTGTATGCAGTGTTCAAACACCTCCCAGAGATGTGAACTTGACCAAATAATAGTGGAGGGTGGAGGGTATCAATACAAAATCAAAAGAGATTACATCAATTGTAGCATCTTGGATCATTTTCAATGGTAATTTCAAGATGTGAATGCATGCCACTTGCATTCTTCAACTTTTGTAAGTCTTGGGGGGGAATTTTGGTGCTTTATCAACTAAGAGAAGATGCCAATGCTATCAACTTTTGCTAGGGCGCCGAGGAACATGAACCACTAATCTGTTTTTTCTGGAAAGTGATTTCTAGAAATAGTTTGAAACTTTAAGAAAGAAGAAATCATGTGATGTTTTTAAGAACTTTTTCTCAAAAGATTTTCTGCATGATATGATGCAGACCCAACAAAGAGCATCCAGTCCAGCACCACTATTTTTCCCAAT